CAGCCCAGCCACCTCATCCTCCTGGGCTGTCAGAGACAGCAGGTCACCATGTTCACAAGCACATGCATGTTTGCAGATCCCTCGACTACCAGCACAGCCCCTCTGTATGTGCAGTACCTCTGGCCCAATGCTGGGCCCCCCCTGTCTGATCCACAGATCTCTGACTCGCTGGTGGATCCAGCTCTGTGCTTGCTGCAAACACACAGCATTCACACACTTGGGCCACATTACCCCACAGTTGCAGGTACACCTGGACACACCAGTACTAGTACCTCTGCCTACCCTGAGCCAGAGTATCCTACTCACTGGCTGGTCCAGTTTGAAGTTTGGTGGTGATTACACAAAAAATACTACACACACTGGGTTTGGGGAGGATACATACACTCATCCCCAGCAGCTGGCAACAGGCATATGGACTGTGACCTGTGGTCCTGCTCCAGCCACCAGTGCTGAGCCCCTCATTTGCCTTATTCATGCTGATGGCCCCACACAGCAGGTGGTTTTGGGAACACACACCATTCCTGCCCTGTGGCTGGAAGTTAAAGACCGGACAAGCATACTGACTGGTCATGGTTTACATGCAACTGGCCCCTTTTCTGTCTATTCCTCTTTTCTTCCTTCCCTGCACATTGCCTCATTAATTTGTACAGTCCCACCGACACCCTCTCCAACATCCTGGACCCTAAGGTCTGCATCCTTATCAGCTGCAAAGTCCTGTTTGCCTGCAGTTTCTTGATAGTGTTCAGTTAGTGTGACTGATGAGGTTGGCTTCTTGTCTTTGTCTCCATTATGATTTCCCTACCAGTTTTGTGTCTCCATATACCTTATTGCTTCTGCCTTTTCTTAGTATCCCATTTGACAAGGTTCTTGATAAGATAATCTTACCAGAATAAACATTCCTATACTTCATGTATCCTTACCAGTTAGTGCAACTGATCAGTTTGGTTCCCATTGCTGCCTCCCTTATAATTTGTTAGTCAGGTCTGCATCTCTGTGTTCTTATTTATGGCTTCCTCCTTTTCTTAGTATTCCCTTTTGTGTTGAGAAAGTCCTTGACCAGACACCTTAAAGGAGCAGACACTTTCATTCCACATATCCTTACAATTAGCATATAGTTGAAAAATCTTATTAGAACTATGTTACAAAGAAATATGGAATTCAATATTGGTCAAAAAAGGGAAAAATAATTCTTTATTTTACAGTTACACAAATAAAAAACAATCCCCATAGGTGTACTTGAAATAATATTAACAGTGTCAAACATAACAATCTTGACAGAATACATACCAATACTTTAAACCACTGAAAGTGTATTACATATGCTCAGTAGCAAGAGTACTGTGCAGGAATGAAGCTCTCTGTAAACGTATTTTCTTTATTTTACCTACATTTAGAATAATTGTGCTTTTCTCTACACAAAGGAACAGTGCTCTTAAAAATAAATATTGTGCATTTTCAGAGTTATCTCTTGAAATATGCTAATCTAGATCCCCATCTAAATCCTGGAAATGTCTCTCCCAGGAAAGTCACTGTAAAGAATGCTCAGCACTTTGCTAAATCAAACACTTAAAAAAAGGTACTGAACCCACACCGGTCTTCTTCTTCAAATTGCCATCAACTAGAGAAGTGCTGACCTTAAGCACATTGCTTATACTGTTTAACAAAAGAATGGTACAGTCCTTATTACACATCAGGCTGTGTAAACTATTCAAGGTTTGAACAGTTCAGTAGATCTTTTATCTGTAAAGTGGCTCAGAGCTGTAGGAGAGAGAACTGTCCCAAAGCTGAAAACTTAACAATGAAATATATTTATTAATTTTATGAAATATGAAAGACTCTCTGCCACAGGAACATTAACATGTATGTTAATAAACAATTTACAATAAATTTATCTGAATGAAGTCAGGTTGTTCAATGTAAAGCTGCCACAAGATTTGGAAAAATACATACTCACTGCTGTCTTGATGTAGTTCCCCGTTCTTATTTTTAACATACATTTAGGAACCACAGCTGGCAATTGGTATGACTGATGTGAAGATAAATTCGACAAACACTCAACTGATGGGCATTCCTCAGTTGTTTCTCACTAGGGCAGGTATCCCAACATATTAGGGATTCTTCTTTTTATCCTATCTACTTCGTATTAGATAGCGTTGGATGTGTTGTAATTATAATAAAGCCTGTTTATCTGATCTGTGATGTATGTGTGTGAATGTATATAAATAATCAAAATCATTCAAGGCAGCTATGGAAGCTTGAACTGTTAACGGCTGCCCTGTGAAGGAAGGACCATGAGGTGAAACTTGTTCCACTGTAAAGTCCTTATACAGCAGCTAAGCCTTTGGTACTACATCCTGGGTCACCTTTAAGGAAGAAAAGTCATGCTGTGGAAATAATCTTGTTGTTGTTGTTGTTCAGGACCTGGGGTGCCTCAAAAGAAATGTGTGAAGAGCCCCACAGCAATACAGAGCCAGAAAGTATAACGCAAAGGTAAGAAAGGGAATCTGCAATGAGTCCACTGCTCTACAGCTTCCCAACTATGCGAGGGCTAACAACCAAGGTCATGTAATCTAACAGGAAAAGCTCTGTGCGTATCCTACCTCAGGTCACCCGAGAGTAACCAGTAACTGGTGATAACTAACCTCCTCAAACCAGACAAGTTGCATCACAACAAACTACATATCAGGGAGCCCCTGAAGTTTTGGGCTCCACATGGACACAGATCTTACACAAGACCAACAGAGTAAAATGACTCCTAGTCCTTGTGAAAACCTGCACAGTCAAAGATTACAATTGCTACTTGTCTCAGAGGATGGTTTGAAACCAACTACTTACTATACTATACTTCAGCTCAGGATAAAGCTGAGGCAGACTGAGGAATCATATGCTTTCGGTGGGGAGGCACCTGGTGTGAGAGGCAAACTGGGTGCCAGTTTAAGAGGTAGGTGCTATGAGAAGCATGAGTGTGGATGATGGTGGACCATGGCTTATGGTGCCAGAAGAGTGCAGTACTGAAGGTGGAAAGCCTGCAGGAGATGAGGTTAAGATTTTCAGAAGGTATGGGCAAACACTGTTGTCTTGGAAGTAGGTGCTACTGTCATGTTGTGCTAAACCAAGCTGGAGAACTTGCCCTGTATCGCCCTCGTCTATCAAACTTAGTGATAGGGTAAAAATTTTGACTCCATGGCTTGTGTACAAAAGTTAACTTCACTCATAAAGAATCAAATGTGAAGTCTGCAAAGCAGGCTCAGGCCAAATTTTTCTTCATCCACTGACTTCCAAAGTCAGACTTGTTCATCTGTTTTCCTATTTATATCTCATTGTTTTCATTTATGCAATCACAGAAGTAATTTTTATTTTTTTTTTTACTACCATAAGAATTAGTGTCTCCATCTACTTTGCTTTCAGATAACTAATCAACTGGTGTATTAAAACCTTCCCTGATGTGAAAAAAAAAAAAAAATCTGTTGGTTAATATTTTAGTCTACTTGAATTCTCTTTTTGTTGGTGGTCTGACACTAGAGAGAAGAAAAGATGTTCCCAGAAGATAAAACTAACAAGATGCTTTTCTGGGCTTCTGTGAGACTGGCATCTATGAATTCCTTATCTCAACAGAAATTCTGTCAGCAGCAAAACCCAAACAGAACAGGAATCAGCCTAACTTTCATCAAGGAGATAACCTTATTTTACACTGCAAGTTTGCACAGTGTACAAATAACACCCTCTGTCTTATCACCAACTAATTAAACACATTCCAATCTGTATTGCTGTTTAGTTCCTCATGATGCCTTGGTTTCAGTGGTGATCATGTTAGGACCTCATACCATATGTTAGCATATAGCCAAAGTAAACTGTACTGGGTAGGAGAGACTGGTGAATAAGGAAAGATGCTACCATGTCTTAGATATAGCAGAATGAATTTCTATTTGCCATCAACTTTTGGCAACACTGTCTGCAAGGCAGTGATTTAGCTAGTAAATTTGCATAATCACAGGGCTTTAGTCATGCATGATGAAATACATGTGAACTTAAGAGGAAAAACGTATAATAAATGGCACTTTTTGCTAGCAAATGTTGTGAAGTGTAGTGCTACATATGAAACTACTCAAGCTAGTTCAAAATGCAATAGATACACCAGATAGTGTATGTGGAGATGAGGACCTAAGGTAGAGCTGAAAACATAGAAAATACATATACATTGTATCTGCATGCCTCTTCTTTAGCCTATCCTGACATGAAAATGGTGGAACCATGGTGTTCTTCATTTACCTGCTCCATTAGTGCTAAAACACAGCATATGCAGACATGGTTTTGTATCTTAGTGTATGCCGCACTGACACTCCACCCTTTCCTACCTCCTGTAATTTCTTGTTCTCTTTTTTGAAAGAAGAGAGTGAAAGAATTCTAGGGTTTGTGGATAAACAAGAATGATACTCAGAAAAATAACTGTGAGATAATGCAGCTCTGTGTTATTTCACTCAATTACACATTAGAACATCAAGCTGATACAAAAGGAGTATAGTAGTGATAATCATAAAACAAGATTAGAAATTTAAGTTTTAAAAGAACTACTTGATTTTTTATTTTTCATTTAATTGGCTAGGTCTTTTTTTTTTTTTTCTTTAGATGTGTTCCAGTGTCACCTGAGTTCCTTTAGATTTGTGTTGTGTTCTTCTTTCCATCAGAAATAAAAATTGTGTGTCTATATATATTTGAATACATGAAATAATTTCTTTACTCCTGCAGATATTTCAGAAGAATGAAATTTTATAAGCAAAGTCCGTAAAGAGGCTTTGTTTTGAGATGCTGAATTCAAGAATTTAAATAACATAAAGAATACATTCCCTTCAGCAGCAAGAAAACATCATACTAAATCTAGACCTTTACTTCAAGGGAAGGTAAAAATGTGTACGAGTAATCTCTGGTACCACAAATAAGGGCACCTTCTTGTATGTCTTCATATCTGAACACAACAGAAAAACTTCTATTTAAAAATGGATTAGGTACTGACAGCAGTAGCTAGAAAAACAATTGGGACATTATATGGGTTGTGTGACAGCAGGATACAGCACAATAACAATTGATAAAATATTTGATGTTTCCCTCCACCCTCACAAATATTTTTCCTAAGACAATTCCATAAGATAAATACTTTTAATTATTCATAACATCCTCAAAATCGTTTAAGGGCTCCAATACTTAAAAGCAACGAAACCCAATCAATAGCAGTAAGAAAAACCTCAACAAAAGCTGAGGTTTTATTACAAGATAAAAAAACAGTCCTCTGACTGAAGGTATTTACTAATTTGTTTGATCTTATGGACTTCACTTTTTCTACTCAATTCTACTCAATTTTTCAATTTTTACTCAATTCTACTCAATTTTTAATTCACTTTTTCTACTCAATTCTCATCTTTTCTGCCAAAACCTGGTTGATTTGCTCAAGAAAATATTCCATCCACTGGGGATTTCTTCTGTAGGCTGTCTGACCACAGCATCAAGTCAGTAGTAAGCAGGACATATTTTTCCCCTTCAATTAATGATGAATATGTCACTGGATCCTGTAAACACTACTGAGTATACATTCAAGCTTTATTTTTAGTGAAAGTGGCACTTACTTAAATCCTTGCAGTCAAGATAGCTTAGTTATAGCACTTTACAGGTGTAACAGCTGGTTATGTAATTCTGATAAAATTCCTTTCTCTGATGTCTTAGTGGGTATTGAAATATATCCTCACTGAGATCCCATTGTCAATCCACAACATCTTTATGATGAAGCGTGTATTCTGTACTTCTTATTGTACTTTATATGTGCTTTATTGCTGTATGCATTTCCCTGTTGTTAATTTAAGTGCTCCTCTGTTATGTAATACATACAATGTTTTAAACTCTAATGGCATCCTATGAGGACTGGCATTAGAAAAGTACCGGTATTTCAGATCATCATAATAATGATACTTGACTGGTTTTCCATGTAAATCCTTTGGGAATGGCCAAAATCCATACAGGTGAATCTCATCACAAAATCTGGTGGCAAGAGTATACATGAGGAGACCAGTGCTGGGTCGTTTAATGTGGACCTTGTTTGTCAGCCAATAGCTGCAAAGATAGAAAAAGTAAATTTAAGAAACTCTCATACAACTTTGTATGAATAAATCCTGTAAACTTATTTTATCTGGTTTGCATTTGTTTTACACTATAAAAAAGTGAAAGTTTTCTTCTTTCTAAACTGAGATCATAAATGATGACATTGTTTTGTCACACCTTTATTCCACCTAGAAGAAAAGTGAGATCTTAGTTAACACAGTGCTGAAAAAAAGTTGGTCAACTAAGGCTCTTAGTTCAGGCTTTAACCTAACAAGAAGTCATGATGCCTGCAAATATTTTGAAACGGTAGCTAACTTCCTCAGCCAGATAAGGGACCAGTTTATTGCTATAAACTTCGACCTCCTGCAGTATCCAATTCACCTCATCAAGTCAGCCCTACACTGAATAACTGATTGGCCTAGTGACTACTTCACAGATCGCTTGTCTAAATAGAAAGTAAATGGAAATAATAAACACAACATATTAGGAATCTAACTTTCAGAAGTAAACAGAAGTGAAGCTTTATTTACTTTGCTTGTGATTAAGTATATAAAGCTTCCTGGTTGTTAACAGCAGTCTCCAGAAAAGCAAAATCTTACACTAATAATTTTAAAAACGTTTTGGTTTGTATTCAACAGTTCACAGATCCAACTGAAGCTATGGGACCACTTCCCTGAGCCAGTAACAACATGGTTGCGGGTTTAGAAGATGCAGAGAGATTTCAAAGAAGCAAATGGTGGGTAGGTGCAGAAAGAATATCAGAACGGAACTGGACTCCAGCATGTAGCTCACAGCAGTACCTTAAAAATCTGCCACCAACATTGCTTCACATTCCCAATCTTTAAAAATAAAAGTTCAGTAAAATAGTGCCAGTATATTACTGGTAAAACACATCTCCCAAGCCTAATTCAATGTAGTTTGTTATTGCTTTAAAGAAATGAAAAAGGGTATTTAGAAACATAAACCTGGTAATTCTGCTGGTTCAGATAAACAGCAGCTACACACACAGTTGTACTGGTCAAACTGTGGGAATGAGTGGCTCTAAGTAAGCAAATCTTTACATAGCTTTACCACACAAACCTAACACATTGCATTGTATCACTTTATTCTTTGTTAGTTATAGGCTGTGAATTGTTTCTACTACAGCCCAGACAAAGGGTCAAGGGAGATAAACCTCATCAGACCAGAGTTAGCTTTGTGTTAAAGCAGGGTTACAATAAGGTTGGAACTCTGAATATGCAACCAGATTGCCTTAAAGGCATTTAGTGGTGTAGCAGGATGAACATTCCATCTATGAGATAGGATAGTAAAAATATGTCTTTCATCAAAGCCTAAAGTGCCTTAAAAGCATCAGATGTTGTGCAATATTAAAAATAACCATCCATTGAAACTGGTCTTTTCAGTTTCATTTTTTGCCAAAACCATACGGACTAAAGGCTGATGTCTTTGAATCACAGATACATCTGCATGTGAAATATAATTTTTTTTTTTTTGCATTGTGCTCAGTTTCTTTTTCAAAAGCTGAAGGACTCTGCAAGCAGAAGTCAGATCTAGGCTGAGTGATTGCTTCTCCAAAGCCAACGGAATGAATGACTCAGAATGTTGTTAGGCTGTAAAAAACAGGACGGAGAAAAGAATATTTAAGAAGCAAATGCAATGGGGAATGGCTACATGTACAAATGACAAATGAATTGCATATAATTTTTCACTGTTTTCATAAACCTGAGTTTTCAGACAGAGGTTTCTGAGATAAGATGCTAAATAGTTTATTTCCTACTCTGAGAAAATGCAACATTTAAAACCAAAACAAGACAAAGTAGAGATGCCAATTCCAGAAGATTTTTTAAAAAATGTTTGATCATAGAAAAATTATTGAAGAAATAAAGCTGACCACTTTTGGCACTTCATATCACAGATAAAGCAAAAGAGATTTGTAGAAACTGGTGTTTGTCTCCTCAAAAGTTGGTGCTCACTCTAATCACATGCAGTCAGCCATCTACATGAGTGTCTCTAGCCAAACAAACCTGATGTACTATAGGACACAACTGATAACATTTCAGCTGAACTTCACCCTTTCGGGAACAGGATGATCACAGCAGAGAATGAAATTAATAGTAAACAGGTGGATCTAAATAATTGGAAAGGATGCTACATCTTACTTAACAGTTTCCGTACAGGAATAACGTAATGAAGGAACAGGATGTTATAAAGAGCCTCTCACAATTTTACAATATAAAAGCAAATATTTTCTTTTGCTTTGCATATTCAGATATCATACAAAAGGGAAGTTTAACTGCTCAGTTTCTCTTTAAAAATATGAAAAATAAAAACTAGTACTTGCTGTACTTACTATCAAAATTTCGCAACTCGAGATCAGCTCTACTTCATATGAATAAAACCCCAAGTAATACAATGAATGAAAAGTTAGATTCATTCAGTGCTCCACAATGAAGTTTCCTGCAGATCATTTGATCTCTACAAATACTTGGCTCCCAATCTCTGCTTGAATTGATAAAATTGGTTGTATGGTATAAGTACTCTTTGTGATTTTAGTCTTGAAATATATGTGTCACCTTCTTATTCATGTAGATACTCTAATATGAAACCTTGTTAAGGCTGATTTTTAGACACTGATTGATGTCATAAATGCTTTAACTAATAAGCATTTCTGTACCTGCTTTCAGTTTCTGGAGTTTTCTATAACTTTAGTTTTAAGCCTAAAGATACCCTTGTTACCTATTTATATGTGATATTTCTTATCTAAGGTTACAGTGTGAGGGAAGCAACTTATCACAGATCTGAGAAAGAATCTCTTGTTTCTTGTAACCTCTAGACCTTCACCCATGTCCAACTCTTGTTTTTCATGCTGGATAGAGAGAGAAATTTAACTGACAAAGGAATAAGTGAATTTTGATATGTTAGAAAAGGGAGTCTGCTATTTAAACATCACTAACATGCACCACTATCAAGTGGAAGGCTGCAGCCACACAGTGCACCACTACAATGTTCCAGCCCCTTGTTCTCTTGATATCTGTGCTAAGACAACTCTTCTGTGAGGCCATGCTCTAAAGCAGGCTACTGAATTTATTGAAATGTGCCAACGTGTAAATACACTTCATTTCTTGACTTAAAATGGAGTAGCTTGAATTGAAACAGATCTCACTTCAAATTACTTTCAATGACATGGCTGATGGTAACTTCGTAAAGACACAGGCAATATATAATGAATTTCAGCTTAACACTCAGAAGTTAAAAACAAACCTCCACGGGTAAGGGAAAAACACAGAACCAAACATGGAAGAAACCCATGCAAGAGTAGAGTATCTTGAAGTACCTGAAATACTGAAGGCCTATTCAGTACTTAGTTTAGAAATGTTCATGTATTTTATTTTTATAAAATTACACTTAACAATTACAAAAATTGTAATCGGTAACTAAAAATAGCACTATACACCAAAAAATTAAAAGGACACCTTGATCAAAGTAGGGGACTGCAAAAATATCATGAAAAGAAAGTATGGTTAACCAGGTAATGGTTCCTCTAATGATGTCCTTCTGCTCCTACTCCTTTTTATCTGATATTATCTTGTTTATTTTCACCTTTGCTTTTCATCCCAAATCCAAGCATCTTTACCTCCAAAACTTTTTTATCTCCAAGAGACATATTATGTAGTCAGTCATAGCCACACACTTTAGACGTTCTCTTTCATCCAGTTCAATACGGAACTCTTTTCTAGAATGTTTTCTTTTTAATAGGCATACAAAGAATCACAGAATCATCTAGTTGGAAAGGACCTTGAAGATCATCCAGTCCATTAACCTAGCATTGAGAGTTCCCAATTACACCATATGCCTAAGCGCTATGTCAACTCTACTCTTAAAAGACCTCCACGGATGGGGGCTCCATCACCTCCCTGGGCAGCCCATTCCAACACAGGGCAACCCGTTCTGTAAAGAAATGCTTCCTAATATCTAGTCTAAGCCTTTCCTGGCACAACTAGAGGACATTACCTCTTCTCCTATCACTTAATACTTGGTTAAAGAGACTCAACCCAAGTTCTCTGCAACCTCCTTTCAGGTAGCTGTAGAAGTTGATGAGGTCTCCCTTCAGCCTCCTCTTCTCCAGACTAAACAACCCCAGTTCCCTCAGCCGCTCCCTCGTACAACCTGTGCTCCAGAGCCTTCACCAGCGTTGTTGCCCTTCTCTGGACACGCTCGAGTCATTCAATGTCCTTTTTGTAGTGAGGGGCCCAAAACTGAACACAGTATTCAAGGTGGGGCCTCACCAGTGCCAAGCACAGGGGTAAGATCCCTTCCCTGTCCCTGCTGGCCACACTATTTCTGATACAAGCCAGGATGTCATTGGCCTTTTTGGCCACCTGGGCACACTGCTGGCTCCTGTTCAGCCAGCTGTCAATCACCGCCCTAGGTCCCTCTCTGACTGGCAGCTCTCCAGCCACTCCTCCCCAAGCCTGTAGCACTGCTGGGGGTTGTTGTGGCCCAAGGGCAGCCCCCGGCATTTGGCCTTATGGAAACTCCTCCAGTTGGCCTCAGCCCATGGCTCCAGCCTGTCCAGGTCTCTCTGCAGAGCCTCCCTACCCTCGAGCATCAACACTGCCACCCAACTTGGTGTCATCTGCAAACTGACTGAGGGTGCACTCGATCCCCTCGTCTAGATCATCAATAAAGATGTTAAACAGGAGTGGCCCCAAAACCGAGCCCTGGGGGACACCATTCGTGACCGGCCACCAACTGGATTTAACTCCATTCACAACAACTCTTTGGGCCCAGCCATCCAGCTGTTTTTTTACCCAGAAAAGCGTGTGATTGTCCAAGCCACAAGCAGCCAGTTTTCCAGGGGAATGCTTTGGAAAACGGTGTCAAAGGCCTTACTGAAGTCAAGTAAACTACATCCACAGCCTTTCCCTCATCCAATAAGCAGGTCTCCCTGTCACAGAAGGAGATCAGGTTTGTCAAGCAGGACCTGCCTTTCATAAACCCATGCTGGCTGG